AAGACGAAGAACCAGCTGAAGACTGAAGTCCAGCTAGCTAGACTCTGGGACTCCTCTGACATTGCTGCCCTTCTAAGGGCCGGGCAGAGCAAGCCAGTGGTGCGACCCCAGAGCCACGAAGGCCGATGTCCTTTTCAAGGCCGGATTTGTGTGAGTGGTGGTCGAGACCTGTGCCGAAGCTGGGCCAGGTCAGTTAGTCTCCTTGAGAGGAGGATCGTAGAATAGAGGGAAGTAGAGGAGTTAACTTGGGTGTTAGCTTGGGAAATATTTCCCTCTATAGAACGAGTGGAGAGGCCGTTACCTCTCCAAGTGTTCGATTCGCTATGTGCTGTATCGTAGTAATTGTTAATAAATACGTGTTGCCTCAAGTCAACCGTCTGTCGTCACAAAGCCACTACACGAGCAACATGCCACCAACGGGGTCACACACATTTGTATATGCGGATGACCTTGCCCTGGCAACGCAAGCAGCCACCTTCAATGATATCGATTCCACTCTGAACCTAAAGACCTAAACACCATGGGGGAATATTTCAGGAAATGGAAGCTCAAGCCAAATCCCCACAAAACAGCCACTGCATTTCCTCCTAATAACAGGAGCACCAAGCACACTCTTAAAGTGACCTGCGGCAACACTATGCGACACGACACCATTCCCAGCTTTCTCAGAGTGATTGGAGCATATGCTAACCTTCCATGACCACCTGAAAAAGGGGACTGTCAACACCAACACAAGGTTCAACCTGGTCCAGAAAACTGGCAAGCACAAGCTAGGGAGCATCAGCACCCAGTGTTATGGACATTAACGACGGTCCTTGTGTACTCTGTAGCTAAGAACTGTGCACCAGTATTGACCAGAAGTAGTCAGACTCGACTTGTTGATGTCGACCTGAACCCTGCAATGTGGTGTATCACTGGAACACCCTGTCTGCCTGTGCTGTCACCACATCTCTCCACCACCTATCCGCCGCAACACTGCAACCCTCTGGGAAGTCCTGCAAATCGATTAAAGCAGTCGTCTCCCCATTAATCAGAACCTAAGTAACGTCCATTGTCATCACTTGAAGTTACTGTTAGCGAGTATCACCTATGAAGGCCGGCACAGTACAGCACATACGGGTGGGATCTTTGTGTCTTTTTGTAGCAGTAGAGGTGAGGCTGACGTGCGTACACGTGTTTGTGTGTGCGCAAGGGGCTGGTAATCCCCTCCACCTAATACTATGATGCCTTCTGAGCAAAAATCCGACCTGTCCCCCTCGGTAGGATTCACGACAGGAGGAGACGGACAGGGCAGACTGGCTACATTAACAAAATAATGAAGGGGACGTGGGAGTGTGGTTTCGAGGTGTGGAAAGCCATGAATCCCAAGCTATTGTGGGCTTGCCTTCCCATCAACGGAAGGCAAGGACTGGTGGTGGTGGTGGTGGTGTATTACACCCCCACCGAAAATAAACATCGGTGGAGGGATACAGACGAGGCAGATGAGTCAGATACCTTCTATAACCTCCTGTCCCAGGTTAAAGTTGCTCCTGTTGGTGACTTCAATGCCTGAGTGAGTCATGACTCAGACACGTGGGCCGGAGTGATTTGAAGGCATGGGCCGGATCAGCTCAATAATAATTGTAGGATGCTTCTAGTAAGAGTATGGATTCCTGCAGTCACGGAAGTTTCATATCAAGATTGATGCTTCTAGACTTCTCTGCAATCCGTAGCCTTGTAATCACCTACATGCTTTACATTGAGACCTCCTTTGCCAGTAGCAAGATATAGTAATAGGTTTTTACCCTTTTATCTGGCAACAAAACTGACACCTTTATGCAAGGGATCATGTTTGCATTAACCACAACACTTGCGGTCAAAATGCAAACAAAAAGACAACTCTGATAATGTATGCACCGTCTTTGAAATTGATTGGTCCATACCCGAGACGGCTTTTCTTAGAGCTCAGTCTCACAGGGTGTTGGACCAGATGAAGGTGCACAACTCAAAGACAACGCACCATCAGAGTATTGAGAGCTCGGGGTAAGCATGTACATTATGAGACCTACTTTGCCAGTAGCAAGATATAGTAATAGGTTTTTACCCTTTTATCTGGCAACAAAACTAACACCTTTATACAAGGGATCATGTTTGCATTAACCACAACACTTGCTTACACCAACATGCTGTTCCCACATCAACACAACCAGTCGACACCATGGATGGCATGCCAGGTCCAAGCAAGAACGTCATGAAACAGCGGATGCGGGCCGATGTCCTTGACACCAGGACCTACCGTAGGGCTTTATCTGTTCACTGGCCATTGTATCAGAATCAGAATTGCATTATCCGAATAAATTACACTGGTCAACACTTTTTCTGGCATAAGGTATTCGGTTGTAATGTAATTTTGGGGTGCTGATTCCAAATCTGGCATCAGTTGTTGTCTATCACATCAGGTTTTTGAGATATCAAATATTGCATTTTCAATAAAAACAGCAAATGTATGCTCATATACGAATAGCTAAACAGACATCCATACAATAATAATATAAGATACAATATAGAATAATAATGAAACAAACATTTAATGAGCCATAGCACAAAGTTGTGAGAGTGACTGCATATCAATGTGAGTGAATGCATATTACCATGTAAGAATTGAATTGTGAAGATGAGAAAAATATGTACAAAAAGGTAATTCACAATAGTGATGTTACATCTGCATAAACGACCTCTTCTTTGACGATCTCCGATGTACAGCTTGTGGAATATCTCTCAGGACCAGCAGTAATCTGTCATCATGTCTGAGTCCCATCGGCCTTGGTAACGTTCTTCCATAACTTTAATGTCTTGATGAAAGCGTTCACCTTGCTCTTCGCTCACGTGACCCATGTTCTCTGGAAACTGGGCCCAATGACTATGTAAGTAGTGAACCTTGATGCTCATTTTACATCCAAGTGCTTGGAAACTCAAGAGCAGCTCCTCCACAATCTCTCGAGTTGTCTGCGTTCCTCTTCCCAAGGAAATTCCGCACCACATCAGAGAATGCATTCCAAGCTCTAGCCTCTGCTGCAGTCATTGTTGTAACAAAGTGTGGATCCCTGAGTGTTCTTATTTGAGCGCCATCAAATATTCCTGCCTTTTTCTTCTCGGCACTGAGACTTGAATAGCTGAAGCAGTCTCCAGTGTGATCAAGAGCTTTGACGAACTGCTTCATTAACCCAAGTTTTATGTGCAGTGGGGGAAATACAATTTTATTCCTTTCAACCAGAGGCTCATTCTTGATGTTCTTGTCACCAGGCGTCAAACTGATTCTTGGTGGCCAGTTCTTTTTAACCCAGTGTTCTAATGTAGCCCTACTGTCCCAGTAGCACAGGAAACAAGGGTATTTGGTGTGACCTCCTTGCTGACCCAGCAGAAAATTTACCATTTTCAAATCAACACAAATTAGCCATCCATGAACATGGTATTCCAATCTATCCAGAACAATCTTGATGTTGGCATACTCTTCATTCATTTTTACAGTGTCCTATTGGGATTGAACCATATATATTTCTGTTGTGAAGTAACACACATTTCAAACTCCTTTTACTACTGTCAATAAAAAGTCTCCATTCACTTGAATCATACGCGGGCAGTCCCATATTGAGAAGAAGCCCTTCAACATCATTACAATAAACAAGTTGACCATCTGAATGGAAGTACTTTCGCAGTGCTGCTTCTTCGTTACGATAAAAGGAGACACTAGTGCCAGGTCTGAGTAGTCCTTTCTCTTGCAGCCTGGAAGCCAACAATTCAGCAGACTGTTTTGACAAATACAAATCTCTTACAAGATCATTCAATTCAGGCTGACTAAACAAAGAAATTTTATCACAATCTGCATCAGATGGCGTATATTCGATCTGAGCATCATCATCATCTGTAGAAGCAGGTAAACTGAGGGATTCAACATCAATCTCTGGTAGCTCAGTAAATACAGGCACAGGTATTTCCTCAGTGCTCAACTGGTCGTCTGGCAGATGGGATATCTGGGTATTGTAAGTGTTGTTTTTCTTATTGAAACCTTTTACATTGACAGGGCAGAAGTAGCAGTTATCCAAATGGTTTGTATGTTCTCTCCAAACCATTGGCACACCAAACTTCAGCTTAGCATTCTTTCATTTAGACCATGATCGCAAAGTTTCAACACATGTTTTACACACTTTGTGAGGAGATTAATTTTTGTTTTTGTCATGGTCTCCAAGTCGTACTTTAAAGTAGGCAAGATAAACCTTCTTGACAAAGGTATTGTTGATGTTGCGCCTTTGATCCTGCAAAGTGAAGCTGCCACAGATGTAGCAGAAGATATCTGGGTCATTACTACATTTCCTTCTTTTGGATGTTGTAGCCATTGTTAGATCATGCCCTGCAGAAGAAAAATATTAAATAAATGTGGATATCTACATAAAATGAAATTATAAACACACTATCCTAAAA